CCCGCCTGTAAAGCCTATAGCCCCTAATGCTAACTGCCCAGTCGTGGGATGAATCCCACCATGTTTCTGTAAGCCCTGTTATGTCTGGGTTTGAACTGGCTATTCTGAGGGCAAGTTCTTTCTGTTTGTTCCCCATACTACGAGCATTGGTATATAGGCATTTAAGGCCTTGCATAGCTGCGTGTGCCACCCCCCGATTTGGGAGACTATCCAGACCCCTGTTTCTTACCTGGGCACTCCTTGCATTTATCTTGCTCAGGTGGTGTCTCCTCGTCTTCCTGTGCCCCCTCCCCTGGCGAGGCTAGTTTAAAGCTTGCCGTACGAGGTCAGCCAACCTGGAAGAGAAGACATGCTTGCCTTTAGGAGAGAGGTGAAGCCTATCCTGCCCCAGCAAGTCCCCCACCCGAAAGCATGGGTCATTATCTAGGAACCCAAGGCCTGCCTGGCGTCACCAACTGCGTAAGCACCGGTTGACCTCGCCAATGCAGGCCTCGTGTCGCCGTCCCTGCCTACTCACCAGAAGAAGAGAGGAGAATACCACCTGTGCCCCCGTCTCCTTAAGCTTGTCCCCCAGAGCCTTGAAATCCTTCATAATGCGGTCAGGGTTGTCCCTGGCTGCGTCATTTGTTCCCACATGGATGACAACCCTGGGGTACTGGTCTGCAGGTCGGATGTAGGCTGGGATCCTCTCTGTGATGTCCCTAACCCGAGCCCCAGGCATGAAGCAGACCTCTCGCGCCATGGGGTCAGGCCGGCAGATGAGACCTTCCAGTCCTCGTAGGATGGAGTTTCAGATGACGAGGACCCGGTATTTCTTCCTGCTCGTGTTCGCTCTATGCCCATTCCTTGTCATGTGGGGAGTGGCATCGTCCCCGCTGGAGGCAATTTCTCTGTCTTTCTCTGTCACAGCTGCCAGGGCGTCAAACCTGTTCCCCAGGTGAACCTGGGGAGCTTCCACCACTCTAGGCCTAGCAGCTCTGGATTTGGACACCTTCTGCCATTCCTGCGTTGGACAGGTTTCCTGTGGGGGCTGTACAGTGGACGACTGGGCCTGCAGGGAACAGAAATAGGCATCAATTTCATCCTCTGCATCCCTGATCTCCCTCAGCCTGCTCACCTCAGCCTGGAGCTCCCTCACCTGCTCTTCCAGGGCCCTAAGTTGTGCACAGGAGGGACAGGCAAGGGGACCACCAGCCCCGCCCCCCAGGACCCTACCGAGTCCTCCCCCCCACAGACAGGGGGGCAAGAGGCCACTGACCCCATCATGAGCTCCGTCTGGGTGGAGGCCTCAGAAGAGCCCATGGCAGGCGGCAGTGCCCGGGCGGGGCCCCTGGCAGCTGTGCTCCGCAGGAACTCTCCCATTGCCTGCTGGTCTCCCTTGGCCAGTTTATAGACGGCCACCAGATCCCCTCTCTACCTTCTCTTGTGGAGGCTGAACAGGTTCAGGGCTCATAGCCTCTCCTCGTAGGGCCTGCCCTACTGCCCCCGATCATGTGAGTGGCCCTCCTCTGGACCCTCTAGATGTTGTCCACATCCCTCCTCAAGTGTGGCACCCAGGACTGGACGCAGTACTCCAGCTGAGGCCTGACCAGTGCCACATAGAGGGGGAGGATCACCTCCTTGGACCTGCTTGTGATGCATCTGTGGATAC